CATGGTCACCCAGCCCTGAGTCATGACTGGGTCAATTGTCCATTCCTTGGAACGAACAAGACCAGGACTGTTGCCATCAGCCATGGTCAGGTGAGCTTGCTCAGCCTGATGTGAGCCCCCTGGCTGCAAGCTAGGAGCTCTGTTACCAGGATACCCCATGCCTGGATGAGCAGGGATGATATGCTTGCAGTGACCCAAGCCAGCTAAGTAGCAATGGGTGCAGGTGCAAGGGATCCTGTTGAACTCACCAAACAGATTGGTGAAGGCAGAAGCAAAGCAACTGGGAAAAGCAAAGAAGGGTCAATATCAGCAAGATTCAGAAGGGTCATGAAGAAGAAGAACTCATGGGGTACCAAGGTTGAAGCACCAGCAGCACTGCCAACTAGGCCAGGGCATGCAACCTTCAGTGAGGCGCAACATGTGTGTTGTATCACCATCATGTCACCAGAATGAATAGATGTCCGTTCTCCGAGTCCGGAGCATTGGGGAGTGCAATGCTTATACTTCAGTGTTGTGTGAATCGGGTACACCAGCTAAGGGACTAGCTGGTGTAGTGGTTTTGCTGCTCACTATGTTCGGATTGGTTACCCGATTCCCGATCCCGTGACACATCAGACATCAATCTGTAGGCGGTGTTACTCAACACCTGCAGTCCAGTTCAATTACTGAAGGTGGTGTCTAACACCTGCAGTCCAGTACCTCCTGTCATCTGTAGGCAATAAACCTTTTTGCAGTCCAGGTGATGACAAGAGCATCAAACAGCAGCACTACAAACACTTGTGCTGTATCAGAGAGTCATATTTTATACCATTCTCCAACCAACATGTTATGGATGTGCTGCATAGCCTCTGAACAGAGTGTTCAAGGTGGTCAGCCAAAACCTACCAGAACTCAATCATCTGGTTACTCTCAATTGAAACAAACCAAATAGGGCTTACTCAGGTGAACTCACCGAGAACAACCCAAAACACACAGTCTGGTGTCAGCGGTCGCATGCCTGGAACCCGAAATCTACTGGATCGATTGATTTCAACCAGCTTCAGTAGGGGGTTTCAGTTTTTTTTTGCCCTCAAAAACTAGAGTCTTCCAATAGTGTAAAAAGGCCAGAAAATTGATGCCCCCAAATGTAAGCTGTGTTTTTAGACCAAGAGTTAGGGCAGTGTCAGCCAGAACATGAAGCAGTTCTGGAATCCAAACCACCTTGTAGCTCCACCATCTTTGACACTCTCATCACAGAGTCAAAGTATATACAGTCATTATTGACACCATGGGTTCATGCAAAACAAGCTGTGCAGGAAAAGTGGAGGCATTTGCACAAGTAGATCACATGCAACATCATGTGAGTGAAGACTCAGGTCCAATTCTGAAAACTCTGCTGCAACTGTCCAGCTGAAGCAGTGTTTTCAAAAATTAGAGTATTTTCCAAAACAGCAGAGCTTATGTAAGTAATGAATATTCGACACAAGTGAAAACTCAAAAAAAAAAACATGAGTTTCCGAAAAAAAAAAAAAAAAACTAAAACCCCCTAGTGAGCCCTCTTGAGTGTGCACCTGTCGGCCACTTTCACTGAGACTGCTTGGAGGGTTGTTTACCCAACAAGTTTTGGCTAACTGCCTTGAACACTCAGTTCAGTGGTAGTGTGGCACAATCTAGCTCCTGTCAGCTGCAGGACACCTTAGGGTATGAGGTGTTAACATTGGCTTGACACAAGTGCTTGAGGTGTTGACAACCAGACAGTGAGTTGATGAGGGAAGCCCAGACTGCAGTATGAGTACTACCTTTGGTGAGATCAATATCTGGACTGCAGTAACTACTGCCTACAGATGATGTCAGTGAGGGGTGATACAACACACCTGCTCAGATTAGTAGCAATGGCCTGTGGTTGCAACTATGTGACAGAACAACTATATGTTACAGTTAGAGTATAGTTAGTTAAGAATAGAGTGGATGCCCAATCCACTCATTCAATATGATGGAGGGAGCCTATATATATCTTGACACCATGGTGTCGACCTCACCACAGCCTTCCTCCTTGAAGAGGTGTGGCCTCTCTGGCCATGGATTGAGAGAGGAAGGTAGCCGGACCAAGGGACCAGCATGGGAACCATGAGGAGGATGGGCAGTGTCAAGAAGAGTCAACACACAGCCCAAGGAAAGGAGGGGTATGAGGAGGACAGGAACACTCCTCCAGAGGAGTAGAAGCGGTGCCACAGGCAGCACCTCTAAAACACATAAATACTACTAATACTTCACCATAGCAAACGAGTGGATCCTCATCCACTCTACTCTTTACCTTACTAGCTATAACTTCACATAAGTATAATTAGTAGTTTCATCAACAGTAGCAATTGCAGAGCATTGCTTCTATCATAGTGCATGTGTTGTATCACAGCTTCTTGATGCCATCCAAAGGCAGGTCATACTACAGTCCAGATATCAATCAACACCAAAGGCGGTTTCATACTGTGGTCTGGCTCTCTCAATCTCAAACCAAAGGCAGTCATCCACTGCAGTCTGGGGATCACCTCTCATTCAATCAACACACTGGACACTCATGTCAAAGCAACCACATTAGCATCAGACCTTGGTGCCACCTCAGACAAAGTAACTATTGAGCTTTGATTGTGCTGAGCTACCTCTGGATGGAGTGTCCACAGTGGTCAGTCGAAACCTGCAATAACCTTCAAGCTACCACATATTTGAGTGAAAAAAGTCATAGAAGGCTTCTACAACAGATTTCAGCAAGAATAATAATAAAGGGCTTTTTACCACAGATCTCGATAGGATCAGTAGTAGTTGTCTTTCTACTACAGATTCTGGGTTTCAGGTGTGTGACCTCTGACATTCTGTTGTAAACCCTCGTTTTGCCTGATCCTCCGATTCCTGTGCTTCTCCTCATATGACTTCGGTTCTTCCTGCTTCCTGTGCATCTGGTCCCATGACAAGACACACTGGACACTCGTGTCGAGACAAACGCATGTCAGGGGTCTCGCGCCTGAAACCCAGGTCGGTCTGTCGAGATACTCGGTGACTATCAAACTGTGTGACAGCTATTGTCTCGGTATTGGTCTTGATGAGCTCATTGCTCAGTGACTATCAAGTTGCACAATGACAGCAGGTGGCATTCATTGTATATACTATCGTAGGTTTTGGCTGACCTCTGTGGACACTCCATTCAGGGGTAGCTCAGCATGATCAATATCAATGCTTCAGTTATGATGACACCAAGGTCTGCTGTGCTGAGGGAGTGTTTAGCACCCATGCTCTCAGCAAACTCCTTCCATGTGTTTGAGATGAACTGTCTTCCCCGGTCTGAGACCATATGATCAGGGAATCTGAACTGTTTGACCACATGTCCCCAGACCAACACAGCAGTCTGCCTCGCAGTGACTGTTGTAAGCGGTCGCGCGCCTGAAACCAGATTGGGTGTCTCCAATTGGTATCAGTGAGGACAATTGAGTAAGATCTACTCAGGATGTTTCAACTAAATGTAACCAGATGGCTTTGTACTGGTAGGTCTCAGCTGACTGCCTTGAACACTCCATTCAGAGGTTGCACAGCATGTCCATTTATTCTTTGGAGGGAGAGTAGTATACTCTCCTTACAGTACAAGTGTTCATAGTACTGTTGCTAATGCTCTCTAGCATCATCTGGACTGCGATATGCTTATTGCCTACAGAGGATGGGAGTTACTGGACTGCAGGTGTTGGACACCACCTACAATAACTGACTGGACTGCAGATGTCAAGCAAACACTGCCTACAGTAAGGGACTGGACTGCAGGTGTTGGGTAACACCACCTACAGTTGACACCTAATGGTGATACAACACACATGTATGAGGTGTTGTTGTAAAGCTCTGCTATTGCAATGATATGTAACTATGAGTCAAGTAAAGAGTATGTAAAGTATAGAGTAGAGTGGATGAGGATCCACTTGTATGCTATAGTAGAATGAGAGTATTTATGCATTCGCTTGGTGTTGCCTGCAACACCTCTCCTACTCCTCCTGAGAGGCCTTTGCCTCCTCTTGACACTCTCTCTTCTGCTGGTGTCACTCCCTTTGATGCTGTGCCTCTACTGCTCGCACAGTGTATTGGTTTGTGCAATACTGCCCCTTTGCCTCCATACTCTTCTTTGCCTGGTGATGTGTGTTGACCCCATCAACACAGCTCCTCCTCCTTGTAGACAATCCCTGGTCTGCTTGACACAGCTCCTTCTCTCTTCACTGGCAACTACCTCCTCAACCTTATCTTGTGAATCCCTTAACCACCTGTCAAGTCCTGTTGCCAAGCCCCCTTGATCATGTGGTTGCCCCTGTGCTTGGTCCCCTGTGGCTGTATGCATGTACCCCTTGAGTGGTAACCATCCACATGATGCTGAGCTTGGTCCCCACTCCTACATGTGGTTATCTCCATATGCTTCTCCTTCTATTGCCAGTATCCTCCTTCCTGAATCTCCTGATGCTTGCTTGTGATGGCTGACTTGCTGAGACATGCCAATCAGGCTGATTCCAATCGATCCTTGTGAGATTAATCAGGATCCCAGAACTCAGTTGATCTCACAAGCCATATGTGCTACCAACCTGATTAGATTGTCGATTCCTGATGATTGCTGTAGATCAATTTGGCGCACACTTCATACACTGATCCGCTGACCCTGTGACAACTGTCTTATGAGTTGGGGCCAAGATAGCATACTTGGTCAGTCTGTCGACTATGACCAATATGGAATCATACCCCTTTGATGTTGGCAGTCCCTCAATGAAGTCCAGTGAGACAGAGCCCCATGGTCTGTCTGGTGTGGCGAACAGTTGGAGCAGGCCATATGGACAATGCCAAGGGGCTTTGTATTGGGCACACATGGGGCAGCTTGCCACATAGTCAGCAATCCAAGCTGTCATGTTTGGCCACCAGTAGTGCCATTGTGCCACCTTGATGGTGGCATCCCATCCCACATGTCCAGCTGTGATGCCATCATGACATTGAGACATTACCATGAATCATAGATGTTCAATGGAGAGAGATTGTCCATCTACTTCTTTGGCACTTTGCAAATGATGGTTGTTGGTTCTTCCTGGCATGGTTACCTTTGGGATAACCAATCTTCTGCCACTGTGCCACAAGCTGTCTTTGATCTCAAATGGCTTCTTCACATGTATCTCCTGCAGCTTGGTGTCCAAGGGCTGAAAGATCTTGGTCAACTCCTTGAGCTCCTGCATTGCTATGGACTCCATTGTGAGCATGGGAGCCACTAATGCAGAATTGTTGCCTGAGCATGCTGTTGGGACTGATTCTGCTGAAATCTGTAGTATTGCACCTGCTACTACATTTTCTGCTGGGTTTTGCTGTATCCCACTTCTTTTACTGATTTCATTTTCCACCCCCTTGAATACCTGGGTAGGCAGCAGTTGCTGCACATTGTGCTCTTGTTCTTCACTAACTGGTTGCATATCAACTCATCTGGTGAGTGTGTTGGGTTTGTCCCCCTTGTCTCCTGGTTGGTATTGCAGCATGAAGTCGAAATCCACCAACAATACTGCCCACCTTGCTTGTTGTCCAGTGATGTGGCACTGCCACTTGAAGTACTTGAGTGCCTCATGGTCTGTGAGAATAGCCAATTGACTAGGTAGTCCTGCGAGCATGTGTCGCCACTGGGTGAGGCATGCTACTACTGCCAGGAGCTCCTTGTCATGGTTCTCATAGTTCTTCTCTGCCAACAACATCTTTCTAGAATAGAAGGCTACAGGATGCCAACATTTCTCATGTTCCTGTTTGAGGACTCCCACAATGGCAAAGTCACTTGCATCTGTTTCTAACCTCATAGGGAGATGGTAGTTGAAATGCCTTAGCACTCCAGCCATTGTGAACACCTGTATGAGCTTGTGGAAGGCCTGTTGAGCATCTTCTGGCAACTCAAACTTCTTGAAGTGTTCCATCAGTTTCACCAGTGAGGTTAGCAGCTTGGCAATTTGGGTGAAGTGAGCTATGAAATGCTGGTAGAAGTTGGCAAAGCCTAAGAACCTCTGGATGTCATGGATGGATTCCAGCATTGGCCATTCCTTGATGGTTCACACCTTCTCTGGGTCCATCTCTACCCTGGTGGGCTTGATAATGTACCCTAAGAATTCAACTGTGGTGGTGTGGAACTCACACTTGGACAACTTGGCAAACAGTCAATTGATCCTTAGCCAGAGAAGGACCTGTGTGACATGCTGCACATGTTCTTCCTCAGTGTCTCTGAAGATCAGGAAGTCATCCAGGTATACCACTACATACACTCCAATGATGTCTCAGAAGATGTTGTTGATGAATGATTGGAAATGTGCCAGCACATTCACCAGGCCGAATGGCATCACTAGGTACTTGTAGAGTCCCAATTGGGTGCCAAACACTGTCTTCCATTCATCCCCCTCCTTGATGTGGATGAGGTTATATGCTGCTTGCAGATCTAACTTGGTGTAGATCTTCACCTTCCGAAGCAAGAACAGCTGCTCCTCTATGAGGGGCAGTGGCACTCAGTTCTTGATGGTGATCTCATTCAGTCTGCAATAGTCCACACAGAGTCTGAGACCTCCATCCTTCTTTGGTACAAAGAGCACTGGTGATCTTGCTGGGCTCTTTGATGGACATATGAACCTTTTTGCAAGGTTCTTGTCCAAGTACTTCCTCAACTTGGCCATTTCCTTGGGCCCCTTGAGATACAATGGGCCCTGCAGCAGCCTACTCCCATCCAACAACTCAAGGTGGAGATCATGCTCAGTATGATGGGGCAGCTTGTCTGCTTCCACCTCATCGAACACATCTCACAAGTGTTGATACAGCTTTGGTATGTCTTCCACCAATACCTTCTTATCAACATCCACCTCCATTTCAACCCCTTTGTCAGTGCCAGTGGGAACAAACCCAAATGCCAGCAGCAATGAGGGTGGGGTCTCCAAGAGCATGAACCCAATGGGTCCATCCTTGAGGGCTGCCTGTAGCAGTAGTTCCACTGAGACGAACTCATTCCCATGTAGGGTGGGGTACTTTGGCCTCTTGCCATAGAAGCTCTCTGCAATCGATTCCATTGAATTTGGTGATAGACTTTTCTCTATGGCAAATTCTTCCAATTCGCATTTTACCACTGTTTTCGCTGAATTCGGTAATAGATTTCTTCCTATGACAAATCCTGCTGATTTTGTGTATAAACCCCCAATTGCTGCTGCTTCTGGTGGCTGTTCCTGTTCTTGGGCCTTGAACTCTAGTTGGCCTGTTTCCCAATGTATCATTGGCTTGAGCCTCCTTAGTTTGGTGAAACCCAGTATGAGGTTGTAGTTGGCAGTGTCAGCCACTGAGACTTCTACCACCCCTAGGTTGTGCTCACCAATAGCAACTTGTATGCTCGCCAAGCTATTGATAGCAAGCTGGTGTCTGGTGACACCATGTATTGATCTTGTTTTTGTGGGTTTTGTGGGTATTTGATACTTACTAACAAATGAGTCTGAAACTATAGACAAACCAGCACTGGTGTCAGCAAGTATATGAGCCAGATGGTCTTGAACCATTCTGGATAGCTCTAATACAGCTTTCCCTCTGCTGGTGGAGAAGCATAATGGGCAATCTTGATATATACAAAGTGATGGCATTGAGGTTTGTAGGGCCATGCATGCCATTAGTGCATCGCCCCACTGACATTTCCCTCTTCACCATCATCTTGGGCCTCCTCGGTACCAGTGTCTGTTGGTGGCTGGTATGGACCAAGATCCAGATCATCAGGTTTGACTGTCTCAGGGTCACCCATGTGCTCATCTCCTGAGTCTGGGGCTCCCTCTTCAAGGAGATCCTCTGTGGTTGCCATGACCTTTGGTCCCATGGGTCATGGGCCCATTGGGTCCAGCTTCTTATTTGGGCAGTCTCTTGCCCAATGTTCAAGGCCTTTGCACAAGTGGCAGGCATTGGTATGAGCCATTGGAGGCCGCTTCAGGCTTTGATCCCAAACCAGTTGGTGGGGCAAGAGCCGATTGGTTGGTTGACTATGGTTTCCCATAGTTGCCTGTTGTCATGGGCCTGGATGCTCAAGAAGCAGGAGGGTCACTGGTTCATATGGACGGAGCACAGGTATCGAAGACCTAGTCGATACCAGTAGAGAGCATGGTCGTAGTGCAGTCTCCATGGAGACCATGGACTCCTATGGATTCACATGCAAAGGAGCACTGAGCCCATATGCGAGGAGGACCAGGCACAGCCACGAGGAGGACCAAGCTCAAAGAGCAGGCGCAGCCACGAGGAGGACCAAGCTCAGATGGTTACCACTCAGGGGCTCGAGAGACAGGAAGTCGACACAGGTCATGAGGAGGAGGAGCAGTGTCGAAGGAGTCGACACCACTCAAGAGGCACAGGGGTGCCAAGCAGGAGAGGCCCCTGAGCAGTACTCGATGAAGAAGGTACTCTCTGGAGAGAGAGCAGGAGCAGCATCGCTGGCGATGCTGTGAAGAGGTATATAACCATGCTTTCTCATCATCATAGGTCGAGTGGATCCCCATCCACTCTACTCACCATAACTAGTTATCACTTCAGCATAAGTATACATTAGTTTCAGTCAGCATAGCAGCAATCTATCAAGGTTGCTCCTCATCGTAGTGTGTGTGTTGTATCACCACTACCTGACGTCCGAAGGCGCCCATAGCAGGTTAGCGGTCCGGATATAGATAGAACCGAAGGCAGTAGTCCACTGCGGTCCGGGGATCACTTCAAGCATCAAGTCAACACACTGGACACTCGTGTTGACGCCACCAACCTTATCACCAACACCATCAACCTCATTATCATCGACGCCACCAACCTTATCACCAACACCATCAACCTCATTATCATCGACATCACCAATCTCATCACCAACACCATCAACCTCATCATCATCAACACTCACACCAGACCTTGGTGTCATCATAACATTGATATTGATCGTGCCGAGCTACCCCTGAACGGAGTGTCCACAGAGGTCAGCCGAAACCTACGATAGTATATACAACAAACGCCACCTGCTGTCACTGCACAACTTGATAGTCACCGAGTATCTCGAGACAATAGCTGTCGCACAGTTTGATAGTCACCGAGTATCTCGACAGACCGACCTGGGTTTCAGGCGCGAGACCCCTGACACCTGTGCTGGCAGTCGAGCTGGATAAGCTTGGGCTGGTGGGTGAGCTGAGAGTGAACTCTGAGCCAGTGGCATTGGCTGGGCTCCTGGGTTTGATCATGGTGGAGCAGCACTTGGGTGCCTAGCAGCAGACTGCTGTAATAGCATCCTCTGCTGGTTGATCTCCTCAACTTCTCGATACCACTCCCACCTTTTCATGGGTGGGTTCCTCTCAAACTTCTCTTGCAGACTGTGTGTGAGACTGCCCCTGAACAGATTGATGACTAACTTATTGTCATCTAGATTGACTTGCCCTTCCAAGTTTCTGAAACATTTGATGTGGCATGTGGCAGTGCCTGGTGCATCACTAGTGAGGCAGAGGGCCAACAGCTTGTTGTAGGCCTCCATTCTAGTGTTACAAGGATTGAACTGTTCTGCCAAGTGCTCAGTAAAGTAGTGCCAATCATGGAACAGCCATCCTTCTTGTGCTCTGTCAATGCAGAGCTTCGATGTCCACCATTTGCAGGCATTCCCTTCCAATTGGGCACCCATGTGATTGATCATGTGTGCTTGCTCATAGACCTGGTTGAACTTGAACCAGGCTTTGGCTTCGAGTATGAAGATCTCAACATCTCTGGGATTGAACTTAGGAAAGGGTGTGGCAATTGGCTTTGATCATGAGAGGTTGGGACCTCCTAGCATGCTAGCATCATCCTCTTGCTCCAGGCCATAAGGATCTGTCCTAGGCTGGTTGTATGGGTCCACCCTGGGCTTGAAGTATCTAGGCCTGGTGGGGGACACATACTTCTCATAATTGATGCTGGGTGGTTTGTTCAACTCAGTGAATGACACCAACTGCCTTGGTCATGATGCCAGGGATGGCATGGGAGGGTCTCCCATCATATATTCATCTCCTCTGGCCTGTTCCTCTGAGCAAGGGAGTATGACTGTATCCTCTTCACTCAGGTGAGCATGGCATAGATGCTCATCACATTGGGCTTGTCTGGAGAGCTCCAGCTGAGCTTCCACTAGGGAGAGTAGCCTCTCGACCTTGTTGTGCAGGCTCTTGTCCATCATGTTGATTGTGGGGTGCTGCTTGAACAATCCACTCTAATGTCAGGGGTTGCATGCCCAAAACCTGATATCTGTAATAGAAATGCATCTATTACAAATCCTGTCAAGATATGCGACAATGCTAGAGGTATTACGATTCTTGGTGAGATATGTAGTAGAGATGTCTCTATCATTTTTCTTGCCCAAAGATGCAGTAATGATTTTGCTATTGCAGGTTTTGACTAACCACTGTGGACACTCCATCCAGAGGTAGCTTGGCACAATCAATAACATTGAATGTATTGCAAGACACCAAGGTCTGGTGTGATTGAGATAGTTGATGTCATTGACACAAGTGTCCAGTGTGTCAACTGAGTGCTTGAGGTGATCCCCAAACCACAGTAGACAACTGCCTTCAGTTCTATCAATATCTGGACTGCTGGTTACTATGAACCACCTTTGGATGTCAGTGAGCAGTGATACAACACACATGCTACAATGGAAGCATTCTACTTGATTGCAACTTCACTGACTGAAACTAATGTATACTTGTGCTAAAGTGATAACTAGTTATGTATGGTGTAGAGTGGATGGAGATCCACTTGACCACTTCTGACAGGGAGGCATGGCTTATATTCATCTCTGCAGGGTTGCCTGCGACTCTGCTCTGGCTCTCTCTCCAGAGGGTACCATCTTTGTCAAGTACTGTGGTAGAGGCCTCTACCAAAGCATCTCCTCCTTTCTGAGCCCTGCTTCTCCTGCTCCTGGGTCAAGGAGAGCCAGCGTCATCTCATCATTGATAGGGGTCACCCCACTTCATCCTAATGACAGTGTATGCCCCCTCTTTCATCTACCTCCTGACTTTGGCACCCATCTTCTTATGCCGATTTCATTGTTGTGTAGGGCCCCTATCTCATCCAGTGGCAACCTTGAATGTCCTTGCCACTAATCTTCACTGGATCTGTCATATGATCATCCTTGCCACTAATCTCTGTGGGAAATGTCATACAATCCTGTGTACTACAGATCCTGGTGGGATTCATGATACCATCATTGCTCATGCCAAACTAGGCAAGATCTGCTCTAGAGCTGTTTCTTCTACAGATCTCTGTGAACTCTACTGCAAGTCCCACAATCTGCCCAATTCCTCGATTCCTGCACTCCCTTCATATGAGTTGATGGGTCTTCCTGCTTCCTGCGCATCCAGGCCCATGACATTGTTCCTACCGATCATGACGAGTTATGTCATAGAGTCGTTGATCCTACCAATCTCACTGATCCCTGTCAGAACTCTACTTTCCTGCTGATTCTACTCCTGTAACAAGACCCATGCTCCTACCGATCACAATGAGTTATGTCATAGAGCCATTGTTCCTACCGATCTCACTGAACTCTGTTGGACTCTACTTTTGCCCAATCCACGATGGTTGCGCCAGATCTCTTCATATGAGTTCCGTTCTTCCTGCGCATCCATCCAGTCCCATGACATGTCACAGTATGCGGTGTCAAGACTTTGAAGTTCTGCTGCACATGATCTTCAAGAGGAAATGTTCCAGGTGCTGTTCAGATCCACTGGGCGCAATGAGGAAGACACTACTGCATCATGGCTCAAAGCGCTTCAGCTAGGAGACAAGAGCAAGCCTTGATGCAACCGTCCTCGATCTGACAAGACTCTCTCTTTCCTGCTGTTGAATACAACTCTTGTCACCATCATATGAAAAATTAAATTGAGTGCATTGTGTGAAGAGGAAAGCAAGATACAAGCAAGCAATGGGTGATAGCAACAAGAGCAGGACAAGTAATATATGCTTACTGTTAGGTCTTGTCTCTTATTGACTGTATGACTTCATTGTGTTTTTGGAAGCCCGCATTTCCTTGGGGGGGTTCAAATTTCCTCCAAAAACATGCTTTTCAAAAAAACTCGGGCTTTTAAAAATGTAAAAACTTTGATAACCCCCTTATGCTCGAGGTTTGACACCGAGGCATGCAGGAGGTATGTTGGTATGACAATAGTTATGAAGTGTTGTCATGGCAACAGTTATGAAGCATTGACAAGGCAACAGATATGAAGGCGACCCACTGGACAACGGCTCATAGGTGTGACTCGAAGGGCGAGCATAGCCAGCTGTTAAGGTATTTATACTCCTGTTCTGTAGCCTATCTCACCTCGAAATAATAAGTCTTCTCACATGGAGTTGAAGTATGTGATACCTCGGCAATTGAAGCATGCAAATGCAACCTTCGCTGAGCCCACACATCCAATCACCAACTTTGCTCACTCAGACTTAGTGCACTGTCTGGGCCAATTGCTGAACCCTAGGACACCAGTCATCAGGCAGCTGGTGTTTTCCTCCTTGACCTCTCATTCACTCCCTTGTGCCCCTACCCTATTGGCCTTTAGTATCACACATGCACATGAAGAGGATTGAGGCATATATAAACACTTGATTCATCATGTACCTAGAAGAGATTCATTATCACAATCAACACTTGTGATCATTGACTTTGACGCACCTTCAATTGATCTCGACAACGCTCTTCAACTCATAGACACACCCGACTGTAAAGAGTGCCTGATAGAGTTGAAGCTATGCAGTATGTCAGGGGTCTCGCGCCTGAAACCCAGGTCGGTCTGTTGAGATACTCGGTGACTATCAAACTGTGCGACAGCTATTGTCTCGGTATCGGTGACTATCAAGTTGTGCAGTGACAGCAGGTGGCGTTCGTTGTATACACTATCGTAGGTTTTGGCTGACCTCTGTGGACACTCCATTCAGGGGTAGCTCGGCATGATCAATATCAATGCTTTGGTTATGATGACACCAAGGTCTGGTGTGAGTGTTGATGATGGTGAGGTTGATGTCATTGGTGATAAGGTTGGTGGCGTCAACACGAGTGTCCAGTGTGTTGACTTGATGCTTGAAGTGACCCCTGGACCGCAGTGGACTACTGCCTTCAGTTCTATCTTGATCCGGACTGCTAACCTGCTATGGGCACCTTCAGATGTCAGGTAGTGGTGATACAACACACACACTACGATGAGGAGCAACCTTGATAGATTGCTGCTATGCTGACTGTAACTAATGAGTACTTATGTTTCTAAAGTATTGACTAGTTGTATGGTGAGTAGAGTGGATGAGGATCCACTCGACCTATGATGATGAGAAAGCATGGTTATATACCTCTTCTCAGCATCGCCAGCGATGCTGCTCCTGCTCTCTCTCCAGAGAGTACCTTCTTCATCGAGTACTGCTCAGGGGCCTCTCCTGCTTGGCACCCCTGTGTCTCTTGAGTGGTGTCGACTCCTTCGACACTGCCCCTCCTCCTCATGACCTGGTGTCAACTCCTTCGACACTGCTCCTCTTCCTTTGACCAGTGACAGTTCCTTTGACTCTTGTCTCTCGAGCCCCTGAGTGGTAACCATCTGAGCTTGGTCCTCTTCGTGGCTGTGCCTGCTCCTTGAGCTTGGTCCTCTTCGTGGCTGTGCCTGCTCCTTGAGCTTGGTCCTCCTTGTGGCTGTGCTTGGCCCTCCTTTGCATGTGAGTCTGTAGGAGTCCATGGTCTCCATGGAGACTGCACTACAACCATGCTCTCTACTGGTCTCGACTAGATCTTCAATACCTGTACTCCTTCCATATGAACCCGTGACCCCCCTGCTTCTTGAGCATCCAGGCCCATGACACAGTACACCACTTCGTCCGGGCTACGTTCTAGCTCCTATCACACAGGTGTATGGTAGATGCAATGCTTGAGATTTCTCATGAACTATGTCTACAATATCACTTGTATATATACCTTTAGCTCTTTGTTGACAATCCCTATCACCTCCCACTTAATTGAGTGTGTCACATGTTGCCTCAGTGTTGTCTCTCTTGTGCCTTGGCATTGTCTTTCACAAGTGCCTCCTGATTGGTTGCCACATGTCAATCATACATGTTTGTTCTTCGAACCCTTGGCGACTCGGCTTCCTCGCATCTCGGCTAAACTCCTGGTAATTCCATCGGAACTTTAACTGATAGTGGCCTCTAGGGCGGTGTATCAGTTGAAGATGCGTCAGCATCCCAACAGGATTCACGGGGTCTGCAGAATCATACAGGGTCCACAGAATTTAAGCAATCTAATAATTAAGTAAAGGTGCATATAGGTGGCGACACATGTGGGATGCATAGGAGTTGTTACAATAATGCACAAGAGGCGACAACACAGGAGTAACATGAGGAGTGACACATCGCACATTTGCACAGGCTGAAGGAGATCGTTAAGTATATATATGACCATGTATGTAGCATCACATGAATATAATATAAGCATTCAAGAAGTAATATGACTGCATATGAGAGCTTGCTAGTGGCTCCAATTGGTCACGTTTTATCTGCAATCTTCAACTGATTAAGAGTCTGAAGCTCTACCGACTAAGCCAACCAGGACCATTGACAACATGGTACAAGAGGCCGAAGCTCAAGCTGTCACAAGCAAGGCCAAAGGAGGAAGAAAGGGAAAGGTAATGCAACTGCGAGCCATTGACAATGAGGCCACCAACGAGTCAGACACTGAGGTGAATGACGATGATGCTGAGGAAGAAACTGACTCTGACTCAGATCATGACAACAATAAAAAGCAATACAATTTTCGTACCCTAGCAAAACTACTTGAGCCTGTCCCAAAACTCACATCGCACAACTATTATAGTTGGAATGCCCATATCAAGTCCTTTCTACGATGTGTTCCTCACACTATGAAGCATCTCGATGGAGCATATGACAAGAAACATCCCAAATGGAACTGCACATTCAATGATGCTTTGACAAATGCATTATGCAGTACCATTGACACCACCAGAGAATACAATATCAATTACTTGATTCTTGACATCATCAGGGAGCACCATATGTTCCATCATGTATGGAAGAAGATCGAAAATGGACTCACCAATGAGGCCACTGCCATATCTCATCATATTGCATTAATCACTCAGCTAGGTGAACTAAGGATGCACAACTCAGATGTACGAAAGCTTATCCAGGAAATAAGGACCATCCAAATGGAGAGCAGCTTACTGGAAAAGCCATTCACTGATGACACTCTGTTCTCTAATCTACAAAAGTGCACTATCCAACATCCAATGTACAAGGAGACTGTTGCCACCATCAGCCAGCTTAGTTTTAACGCCCTCACCACTGCCCTATCCATTTGGCAGTCAGTGATCGAGAACAACCCCACTCTGAGAGTTGACCCCTGTCAAGCAAGCACCAGAGTCGCCAGCAGCGACAACCAGGACGAGACACCCAGAAAGGAGGAGAAAGATGAAAAGGACACTGACAGCACCAGCACCAAAGTTGCTGCTAGACCTCAAAGGCTCTGATGTTGGATCTGCAAGAGGCCTGGACATGGGATCAGTCAATGTGATGCATTGGTGACCATACCAGAGAATTCCCCCTTCACCAGGCCCAAATAGGAAGCCTGGTGCTCTTTCGCACCGAGTTGGCAGAGCCACCCAGATTCAAAAGGGAACCATCATTGGATCCTAGATTCAGGCGCCAGCTATCACATGGTAAACAACTATAGCATGCTCATTAGTCCAAGAACCTGCCAAAAGCACATATTCACCACCAGAAGCGAGGTTCTGGAAGTGACTGCTATAGGGGATGCTAGCATATCAACAAGTCACAGAGATGTTTTTCTCCAAAATGTATTGTATGTTCAGCATCTCAATGTTAACCTATTGTCAACAAATTCCCTGACAGATGAAGGAGCACAAGTGATGCTAGACTCAACTGGAGGGCAAATACACTTAGCAAATGGTATGCTACTCAAAATATCCAAGAATTGTGAGTGAGGACTGTTGGAGTTCCAAGGTGACACATGGAAGGAAAACACAATGATCACATCAATGTCATTATTTAAAGGTGTTGATGAAGATTTCAAGCATATTGAGAACAAAGCCAAAATATCCAAACAACAACTATGGCATGAATGTCTGGGACATCCAGGTCAAGATAAGATGAGGGCCATCATCAACTGCTTAGGAGAAAATGACACAGCAGACCTAAACCCAGGGACTGCTACAATATGTGAGCCATGCATCTGATCCAAAAGCACAGCAGCCTGAATGGGGCAAGGTAGTGGAGAGAAATCTGTCTCTCCACTTGATCTCATCCACATCAACTTGATAGTTGACTCGTTGCACATGACAGAATACATGTGCACACTGGTACTGGTTGATAACCACAGCAAGTATGTATACATGCAGCCTTTGCTATGAAAGAGTCACACGTTTCCCAAGCTCAAGACAATCATATTGTATCTCAAGACACAGATGGGAAAGAATCTGAAAGCAATATGATCTGACCAAGGTACAGAATGGAGAAGCAATGATGTGCTTCAGTGGGCATATGAAAAGGGCATTGAATGGCAAATGACAGTAGGGTACAATAGCAGACAGAATGGATGTGTGGAGAGAATGAACAGAAGCTTGGGTGAGAAGATGCGAATGCTGCTCATGCAAAGGAGGTTACCGAAGAGCTTCTGGCCCTATGCAATCCAGACCACAGCCTTCAAAATGAACCTCATCCCAAGCATTGATGGTGAGTTCCCATACCAAGTCATGTTTGGGAAGTTGCCGGAGCAACTCATAAGACTCCTATGCTTCTTTGGATGTTTAGCATGGGTAAATGTTCCCAAGGTCAAAAGAGATAATAAAAAGTTAGATCAACAAGCAGTAGCATCTATCTTCTTGGGGTATAGTCTGGAAAGAAAAGGATGGCTCTTCTACAGCCTGAACATCTTTTGGAGCAACTCAGCTAGATTCATGGAGACAAAATGCTGGTCCAACAAAACAGAGTGGAAACCAGTAAACATACACCCACCACCAGCACTAGCAGATGAAGGAGACATAGATGATCTTGGATACACAGATATGAACCTCTTCGATGAACGAGAGGAGGAGCTGCTGAATGAGTACATGAATATGAAAGAAACAGATGGATTGAATGATGAAAAAGATCTGGGTGAAGATGCAACAAAGGCAATAGAATGCGGGGCCGATACCAACACCAACATGTTTGATGACACATGGACCGATAGCAATCACTATGGACTCATGGCAATAAACAATCGAAAGAGAAGGAATCTAGACCCAACAGTTAGCGAAGCATTGTCAGGAGAGGACAGGAAGCATTGGGAGGAAGCAATGCATAAAGAACTGGATGGTTTGAAAGCCATGGATACATGGGAAATCATTGATCTCCCCAAAGGTATGCATGCTGTCAACACACGTTGGGTTTTAAAAATCAAAACAGATGCAAATCTCATTCCGACAAAGTTTAAGGCAAGACTGGTGGTGAGAGGCTTCACACAAAGAGAAGGTATAGACTACACTGAAGTGTTTGCACCTGTCGCACCCATTCAGTCAATCCGAGGAGTCTTAGCCATAGCAGTGGTTCATGACTGGGAAGTAGATAGTATTGATGTCAAGCAAGCATATCTAAACTCAATGCTACATCATGATGTATTCTTAAAACCGCCATTTGGAATGAGAATTCCACCTGGAAAGGCTTTGAAGCTAGTAAAAGGACTGTATGGACTGAAACAATCAGGGCAAGAATGGAACATAGAGTTGGATTCATACCTACAGAGCATAGACTTTCACTGCATGCCAAGTGCACCCTGTCTGTATTCAAGAGGAACTGGAAGTAACCTAACTATTATTACAGCCTATGTTGATGACATGCTCATAGCCTCGCCCAGGCGTAAGGAGGTGGATCGCACCAAAAGGGAGATAATGTCCAAGTGGGGAACAGAAGATAATGGCCCAGTGAAAGAGTTCCTCGGCATCAGCATCAAACAAGACAGGACAAGAAGGGAGATGTCAATTGATTTGACTGCTTACACCAAGGCCATGGTGAGTAAGTGGTTACAGTCGACGGATCAGAAATCATGGGTACCAATGCCAGAAATACCTAATGCCATAGGGAATGATAAATGTGATTCCCTAGAGGCAAAACAATACCAAGAACTGGTGGGACAATTGTTATGGGTAGCAAATACTGCATGACCCGACATATCATTCACAGTGGGAATACTGGCAAGATATATGTTGACCCCAACCAACAGCGCATGGAAGGCTGCTATACACTTGATGAAGTATCTCAACCAAACCAGTGACTACCGACTGAATCTTGGGAGCAGATCAAGCGAACACTTGAAGCAGCTGATTGTCATGTATAGTGATGCCAATTGGGCTTCAGACCCAATGAACGGATGGAGAAGCACATTGGGAGCAATGACATATATATATGGGTGCCCAGTTAGCTGGAAGTCACATGTCCAAAAATGTGTGGTGCTATCAGCAGTGGAAGCTGAGTTTGTTGCCACCTCAGAAGCAGCGAGAGAGGCACTCTTCTTTTCATACCTCCTCAGGGACTTAGAAATCGATGCTGCTCATCCAGTCTTACATTCAGATAGTCAGGGATGTATACAGGTGAGTAAGGATCTGGCAAAGCACTGGAAGTTGAAACACATAGACACCAGATATCATTTCATTAGGGATCACATTCAGGATGGGGAGATAGAGATAGAATTTGTTGGAATGGCAGACAATGTCGCAGACATTTTAACAAAACCATTGAAGGGTTTAGCAACATCCTGGCTATCTCAGTTGTTAGGGTTGGTAATGCTGTTGAAGGGGGGAGTTGAAGATGTGTCAGCATCCCAATGGGATTCACAGGGTCTGCGGAATCATATGGGGTCCACAGAATTTAAGCAATCTAATAATTAAGTAAAGGTGCATATAGGTGGCGACACATGTGGGATGCATAGGAGTTGTTACAATAATGCACAAGAGGCGACAACACAGGAGTAACATGAGGAGTGACACATCGCACATTTGCACAGGCTGAAGGAGATCGTTAAGTATATATATGACCATGTATGTAGCATCACATGAATATAATATAAGCATTCAAGAAGTAATACAACTGCATACGAGAGCTTGCTAGTGGCTCCGATCGGTCGCGTTTTATCTGCAATCTTCAACTGTATCTAATTTCAACTCACGTACAGCCATCTCGTGTGCTACCTCAACATTGAGCCGAAACTGGTCTGTGCTTCGGCCCCTAATTCGGATTCATCGGAATCGGAATGTTAAGTTAGAGCTAATGCTAGAATGTTAGGCCGCAATAAAGTTTCGCATTTCATCGCCTTGCCTTTTCATATGACCCTTTCAGCCGTCATTCCGAAAACAGTTCGGTTTTGGTGAGCCTTGCCATCGTCATTTTGCTGTTGAAGCGAGAACATCGAATCACTGTGTCCTTTCACAACCATCCTCATCATCCAGTAACCTTGGAAAGAGCATCTACATCTTCGACTACCATCCTTGAATCGCTTTGCATGGTCCTTGCAGAGCAGACCGTCCTCATTACTTCCATCCTGGTCACATTCGGCGTTTGTCTTGCAATTACAAAGTTCGCCGCCAAGCATCTCTTCACCGGTTTCGAACCTCTTCAGTTCTACGACGCTGCCACCAACCCAATGGAGATCAACGTCGTTCTCGCTTTCGTCGTGGGCTTGATGCTCTCAGTCGGAGCTTTGCTCTACTTTGACGCACAGAAGCTCAAGCCCGTTCTGAACCCGACCCAGTGGCAGCAGTACCGTCTCATGGAGAAGCAGTCGCTTTCGCCCAACACTGCCCTCTACCGCTTCAAGCTTCCTCGCGCGAACAACATCCTCGGTCTCCCTATCGGTCAGCACATCTCTGTCCAGGCCAGCATCAATGGCAAGACCGTGATGCGCTCGTACACTCCTACCTCGTCGGACGACGACCACGGATTCTTTGACCTCGTCGTCAAATCGTACAAGCAGGGTAACATCTCCAAGTACATCCGCGATATGAAGGTTGGCGATCTTCTCTCGGTCAAGGGCCCCAAGGGTCAGATGCGCTATACTCCTGGTCTCGCTCGACACATCGGCATGATTGCCGGCGGTACCGGTCTCACTCCATGCCTGCAGATCATCCGCGCCGCCCTCAAGAACCCTGCTGACAAGACTCAGATCGACTTGATCTACGCCAACGTCAAAGAGGCTGACATCCTACTCAAGCAGGAGCTCGACGAGCTGGCCATGAAGCACAAGGGCCAGTTCCGTGTCCACTATTTCCTCAACGAGGCCCCTGAAGGCTGGAAGGGAGGTGTTGGTTTCGTCAGCAAGGAGGCTATCCAGGAGAAGCTTCCTCGGCCCGCCAGCGACATTAAGATCCTTTTCTGCGGACCACCACCGATGCAGAACTCGGTTAAAAAGCACCTTGCTGAGCTCGGATACAATGAGCCTCGTACCGTCAGCAAGCTCGAGGACCAAGTGTTCTTCTTCTAAGGCGTACCTTGTCTTGCCTCGCTCAGAAAGCAGCGATCCTTTTCTGCGGACCGCACCGACGCATAACTCGGTTAAGAAGCACCTTGCTGAGCTCGGATAGGATGAGCCTCGTACCGTCAGCAAGCTCGAGGACTCTTCTCTCCCTCGATGTAGATTTAATGCTTCGTTTCTTCTTCGACGCGTCCCCTCCAGCGTCCCCTCCAGCGTCCCCTTTTACTCGACTTAAAAAATCCTCTCTTGATGCTCATCCCTGTCCTACTTCTACCTTATGTCCGTCAGAATGGATTCTGATATGCGACAGCACCTTCCTTGCATATCTTGCCTCCCTCCCGAAAGCTCATCTCAAAGGGCTGTGAATGTTTGTAATCAAAAGTGTAGCAATCTAGATGATTAAATTTGTCAACGTCAGATCTGCGTCCTGTGTCTGCGCAGCTAGCTTCCTTCCTTCAAGTCAACTATTCACGTGTTTCTCTTCCGAGCTTCAAAGACTGCTTCAGACGGCACAACGACACACTGTCCTTGAGTTTTTGTGAGGCGTGAGGTTGTAGTGTGTAGTGAAACGTTTGCGAAAGCCAGCTGTTGGTACATTGCTTTGGGTCGGAACGCGGGTAAGAACATTGCTAAGAAGATGTAGAAAGCGAGACTGAGAGGCAGAGTAGGCTGGAAGAGCAAGGACTGTGCATCAAGCGCAGAGAGGATCATGGCAGAGCGAGGCCTTAACGGAAGCCTGGACGGTGCCGGCTGCTTCGCTGGGAATGCTCGGGATAATATACGAGCCGGCACTCATGCAGAGGCGTACTGCGATTGGTAAAGAAGTATTTCACGGGTGTCAATCTCTGAGTCAACTGCTGGGGGCGTTCAATCGGTCGCTCATCGTGCTAGGACCAACTCACCTTCTTCGTGTACTCTTGCGCTGTCTTATCGAACTTGGCACGGTCAGTGTTGTACAGCTCTGCGATCGAAGCAACAAGCGCATCGTCCGGATTAGGTTCCTCGAGGAGTTGGAGTATCGAGAGCAGAATAGTCACCGCCTTTGTGCTTGGCTTCCATGCCTCGCTCTTGAGAATACCGACACAGAGGTTTCCGCCCTCGTCAATGTTGGGATGGTAGATAGGTGTGTTGAATCGCACTTTGGGCGACTTGAAAGGATACTCTATAGGGAAGTCGACATCAAGGAGGAAGGTGCCACCAGCGTAGGGGCCCTTGACTGGACCTGTAAGCTTTGCAGTCCACTTGTAGATGTTGTCTTCCTTCGGCTCTACGGCGATGCCTTCTACTGGCTCTCTGGTGAGGTCGGCAAGCTCTTTGCCGATTCGTTTCGCGGAAGCCATTGCGGTACGTGCTCGTCTCGGGGGCCAAACAAAAGCGTAGATGAGGATAGATGGGAGGTGTAGTTGGATATTTTTTTGGGTCGCGAGAGACCTCCGAAGATGCTGCTTACGGCGAAGTACTTGAACAGTCAAGTGTCGTTTGAAGGAGGAGGATGGAGGTGAATGCCAAGACGACTGTCCCAAGGAAGAAATGTGAATCGGTGAAACGCTCAGGCCTCGCGTGAGTGTCCCGCTTCCGAGTCAATCAGAAGCGAGACAGCGACAGCGTTGAAAACTGGCATGTTGTGGAGGCCAAGTTTTTTTTAATAATGTTTGTCGTCTAGGTTGAACAGTGGCTCACATTGCATCCGTGTCTGTGCGTATACGGACAAGCAAGGTCTTTCCACAGGCAAGCACAGCTTGTGTAGAAGGCCGCACCGGAGCGGAAGAGTGTATTCCTGGCAATCGCCGTCACAAAGGTAGCTCAGTACAGCCGACATTGTGGCCCTTCACGTGCTACTGGGAGTCTTTTTCTTCGTCCACCGGACCGTTCCTGGCTGTTGATTGTCCTTGCATGCTCCCTCTTGAGCCAGCTGAACAGCATCACTGTTCTGGTCCTTGCTGACCTTCCAAAATCTAACCGTACAATCAATCTCCTCGTACCCTTTGACGGCTCTATCCAGGAGCTCCCATAGGTCTCTGTCCGGTACCTGCTCGCCAAATGTACCCAATGGCGACTCGGTCATGATTCGCCACTTGTTATGCCTCCAATTCCAAATCCACCTGCTGATTCCATCTACCAGCCAACCGTGATGCGTTGCGATGACAATCTTATCAAATCCTTCCGCTTCCCACTTTGTGAACTCCAATGCCGCAAGTACTGAGCGAACTGCTGCACGACGGACAGCCGAGTGACAGAACTCAGGCGGCTTTTCAAGTCTGCGTGAAAAGTTCTGCTCGACAGTGATCTCGGCTGACCGCTTATAAGCTGGTTGTCGTGCACGAGGGTCGTGCGTTGGACAGAAGACGAAACCTAGACCAGCACGCTTCTTCTCGCCTTCAGGCAACGATATTGATGCAGAGCCTGGAGATAGTGAGGAAGAAGACTTGAGTTGAGCTTCAAGCAACTTGTAGTCCGGCAACTTGCCCGCAGCAAACATGGCTTTCCTGGTTGCTTCAACGGAGAAATCGGTGGACACGGAGCTGGAGATAGATGCCGCATCTGATGGACCACGCCTAGTTGTGGTGGTCTCGGTAGTGAAGACAGAGCTCGCATCGCTACCAACCTTGATTGCTGCGACTTGTCCTGGGGTCAGAGCAGCACCAGCACAGAGTATCAGCAGTTGTCGAGGGTCGATCTTACGCACGTAGCGTAGTGGTCGCCATGGTCGAGGATCTGGAACGAACAGGTCTTCGACGCGCAGCTCGCCTGGCCGAAGAGTCTTGATTGTCGCTGCGTCTGACTGTGTGTCTGACGAAGGGAAGAGGCTTGCTTCGTAGCCTGAGGGCACTCGGCCTTCCGTTGCCTCTTCGAACTGCGTAATGCCGAGCTTCTTCTCCTTGTCTGTGGGTCGATCTAGTACATGATGCGATGTCCAATCGCTGGCAGCAGCCCATGGTGTACATGAGTGAGCCGCATCGCCGCTGATGGACGGAAGAGGACGGAAGGGCGTGGTGACTGCGTTCGCTGATACATTCTTTGGGATGGTCTGAGTTCGCTCGGCGGTCAGGGTGAGTGTTGTCATCTTGGACTGTACTGTAGCGGTCGTTGCATTCGTCATGATCGAAGCCGCATCTTGCCCTCCTTGTCGTGGAGTCAAACCTTGGTCCTGCTCGTTCGCTGCAACAGAGGTTGTGGGAATGTCGAACGGCTTGACATGGCCTTGATCATTGTTCATGGTTGTCGAGTCGGTTTCCGTCTGTTCGACGCTTTCCTTGTACGCTTGCACCTGAGTACGTCCTAGCTCATCAAGCTCTGGCTGCGGCATTGTGGTCGCAGAAGCCTTGTTCGACTTGGCTTCAATCTCGCGAGCAAAGTCATATTCGTTCGCGCTGCGGTCTGGGATGAACAGACGCTTGGATGAGTTGTGCTGTGCCAGATCATCGGGAGCATACGATATACCGCCAGGAGTGTCGAGCCTAATCTGATAAGCAGACTGTTGTGTAGCCTCCTTGCTTTCGAGCTGAGCGGCCGGTGTAGCTGTGTCTCCGTTCGTTGTTGGAAGGAGGACCTCGGAAGAATCGCCGCAGTCATAGGTGCGGCGTGAGCTGGATGATGAAGCGGGCCTTGACGCCGAGGGTCGAGCCCACGCTTGCAAGTAGCGATAGTCGGGCGCTGACATGGCGATGAACTGGGCGGGGATGGTCGAGAGAGCTTTTGACGAGGTTGGAAGGGAAGAAGGTAGCGTGATCCAGGGTCCGTGTTGTTATTCGGCTCAAGCTCGCAGCTGCACCATGATTTCCGAATGCACAGAAAGGCGGAACTACTGAAAATGACGATCCAATATGATGATATTGGTTGATGTAAGCAGAATCAAAAGGGATCGGGCGAAGGACGATCTGATCGGAGATCGAAGATCGGGTACAACCTAGTCCCACTTGTTGTCAGACCTTGTCATTAAGTAGGATGTACCCACATTCAGCATGTGCCACCCACTTTGTATATATATCAAGCAGGGAGCTCGAGGCTCCTGCCACATTCTTAGTCAATTGAGTATACAGCTCATGTGTAAACTGTCCCACGAATTTACATGTCACCATACATCACTCTAATGCTCAATAGCCATAAGTTGTATTGCCACACTGTCTGATATCATCTGAAAGCCCTGCTTCTTCTCTCCAAGACTGTGTAAATGATATTGACATTGACTAAAAAAATTGTGCTATGGAGAAGAGCTGAATTTTATTATTATTGTGGGACAGTTTATGGAGCACTCCTCAACAACACCTTAGTACTTCATTTTCCCTCCTTTGGCCTTCAGAACCACCTTGATGCAGTCTGGCATGCTCTCTATTAGTATCCTACATGTCTCTGGAGTGATTGCTGTCCATTCAGCTTTGCATCTCTTGAGCAGTTCAGCCCTGGACTTTGCAATCATACTATACCATGAAAGTTGCATTTTGAGATGGTGCCAGAGGTGTTCAATTGGGTTCAAGTCTGGTGACTGCACTGGCCATTGCATAACCTTAATGCTATTGCTTTCCAACCACATTATTGTCTTCTTTGACATGTGTTTTGGGTCATTGTCTTGCTGAAATGTGACGTTGGTGTATGCATGCTGAAGCTGCAAATCTGAGATTGTTTTCACAAGCTTGTCATTCAAGAAATCAATGTATTGGTCAGAATTCATTGAACCCAGCACCAAGCATGTACCTCCCACCCCTTCCCACATCATACAGCCCCAGATCATGATGGAGCTGCTGCTGAACTTGACCATTGGCCTGACAAGCTTGCTGTTGAAGCCAGCATTCTTAATCCAACAGAACTGCTTACCATCTGGTCCAAAGAAGTTGATCTTCATCTCATTGGACCATACCACATTCTTCCAATCCTCAACAATCATGTCCTTGTGCTCATTAGCAAATTTGAAACTGGCTTTGCAATGTCTCTTGAGTAGCTTTGGTTTTTTCACTAACCTTCATGCTTTGTAATGACAGTAATGAAGTTCTTTTCTTACTGTGGTTGGGCATGCTTTGACTTGAAATGTCTCCTGCAGTGCATGACATGCTTTCCTGACTGTGGAGGTTGAATTGAGCTTGAAATAGTGGTCCAGGAAGCAAACATGACAAGGCTGGAGTTTTCTTGGCTGGCCCCCCTTTGACTTTGGAACATCAGTGGAGGCACTTTTGCTGATGTGATTCACAGTAGACTTGCTCATACCAAGTTGCTCAGCAACTGAACAGGTACATTCCCCATTTTGGAGGTGAAAGAGTGCCAATTGGTGCCTCTCTGGGGTGGTTTTTGGCATGATGGTATAGATATGATGGTGTCAGACTGGAAGTGCTGCTGGATTGCTCACAGTCATCTGATTGAGCTGAAACTTTCCATGTCACTACTTTTGATGTGTATGAAGGTGCCCACCAAGTTACATTGCAAGTTTCATTGTAGTCAAAAGCCCACAAGGTCAGGAATGGAGTGGTGTCACTATTTGGGAGCATGTGTCATGGGCCTGAATGCTCAAGAAGCAGGAGGGTCACTGGTTCATATGGAAGGAGCACAGGTATCGGAGATCTAGTCGATATCAGTAGAGAGCATGGTCATAGTGCAGTCTCCATGGAGACCATGGACTCCTACGGACCCACATGCAAAGGAGGACCGAGCCATATGCGAGGAGGGCCAGGCACAGCCACGAAGAGGACCAAGCTCAAGGAGCAGGCACAGCCACGAGGAGGACCAAGCTCAAGGAGCAGGCACAGCCACGAGGAGGACCAAGCTCAAGGAGCAGGCACAGCCACGAAGAGGACCAAGCTCAAGGAGCATGCAGATGGTTACCACTCAGGGGCTCGAGAGACAAGAGTGTATAGGAAACCGGCTGTCAGGGGTCTCGCGCCTGAAACCCAGGTTGGTCTGTCGAGATACTCGGTGACTATCAAACTGTGTGACAGCTATTGTCTCGGTATCAGTGACTATCAAGTTGTGCAGTGACAGCAGGTGGCATTCGTTGTATATACTATCGTAGGTTTCGGCTGACCTCTGTGGACACTCCGTTCAGGGGTAGCTCGGCACGATCAATATCAATGTTATGATGACACCAAGGTCTGGTGTGAGTGTTGATGATGATGAGGTTGATGGTGTGGGTGATGAGATTGGTGATGTCGATGTTAATGAGGTTGATGGTGTTGGTGATAAGGTTGGTGGCGTCAACACGAGTGTCCAGTGTGTTGACTTGATGCTTGAAGTGATCCCCGGACCGCAGTGGACTACTGCCTTCGGTTCTATCTATATCCAGACCGCTAACCTGCTATGGGCGCCTTCAGACGTCAGGTAGTGGTGATACAACACACACACTATGATGAGGAGCAACCTTTGATGGATTGCTGCTATGCTGACTGAAACTAATATATACTTATGCTGAAGTGATAACTAGTTATGGTGAGTAGAGTGGATGAGGATCCACTCGACCTATGATGATGAGAAAGCATGGTTATATACCTCTTCTCAGCATCGCCAGCGATGCTGCTCCTGCTCTCTCTCCAGAGAGTACCTTCTTCATCGAGTACTGCTCAGGGGCCTCTCCTGCTTGGCACCCCTGTGCCTCTTGAGCTGTGTCGACTCCTTCGACACTGCTCCTCCTCCTCATGACCTGGTGTCAACTCCTTCGACACTGCTCCTCCTCCTCATGACCTGGTGTCGACTCCTTCGACACTGCTCCTTCTCCTTTGATCAGTGACAGTTCCTTCAGCTCTTGTCTCTCGAGCCCCTGAGTGGTAACCATCTGCATGCTCCTTGAGCTTGGTCCTCTTTGTGGCTGTGCCTGCTCCTTGAGCTTGGTCCTCCTCATGGCTGTGCTTGGCCCTCCTTTGCATGTGGGTCCGTAGGAGTCCATGGTCTCCATGGAGACTGCACTACGACCATGCTCTCTACTGATCTCGACTAGATCTTCAATACCTGTTGAACCCGTGACCCTCCTGCTTCTTGAGCATCCAGGCCCATGACAGGTGCCAAGCAAGCAGGATAGCAAGGAGGAGGAGCAGTGTCGAAGGAGTCGATAGCGCAAGGAGGACAGGAGTGGTGCTAGAGGGGTCCCCTGTACAAGTACTCGATGAAGAAGGTACTCTCTGGAGAGAGAGCAGGAGCAGCATCACTGGCGACGCTGTGAAGAGGTATATAACCATACTTTCTCATCATCAAAGGTCGAGTGGATCCTTATCCACTCTACACACATCATAACTAGTTATCACTTCAGCATAAGTATATATTAGTTTCAGTCAGCATAGCAGCAATCTATCAAGGTTGCTCCTCATCGTAGTGCATGTGTTGTATCACCACTACCTGACATCTGAAGGTGGCCCATAGCAGGTCAGCAGTCCAGATTAAGATAGAACCAAAGGCAGTAGTCCACTGCAGTCCAGGGATCACCTCAAGCATCAGTCAACACACTGGACACTCGTGTTGACGCCACCAACCTTATCACCAACACCATCAACCTCATTATCATCAACCCTCACCAACCTTATCACCAACACCATCAACCTCATCATCATCATCAACACTCACACCAGACCTTGGTGTCATCATAACCTATGTATTGATATTGATCATGCTGAGCTACCCCTGAATGGAGTGTCCACAGAGGTCAGCCAAAACCTACGATAGTATATACAACAAACGCCACCCACTGTCATCATGCAACTTGATAGTCACTGAGCGATGTAGCTCATTGAGACTGATACTGAGACAATAGCTGTCACACAGTTTGATAGTCACCGAGTATCTCGACAGACTGACTTGGGTTTCAGGCGCGAGACCCCTGACAGGAGGCATCCAGGACCACGTCGATGACCTCGTCGGCGGTAGGAGGGGGAGTTGGAGTCCTGGCCAACTCAGCCTCCCAGGTGGCTTGGCGCTCTGGGGTCATCTGACCCAGGGGAGGGCGCCTTGCATCTAGGTCGTAACGGTCCGGAGGAGGAGAAGCAGGAGAATAGTCCTCTCCCACCAGTCAGGGCTCGACGCGAGCCAGAGGGGGAGAGGCGAGGGGGCTGGGGATGACAGGGTCATCATCCATCCCCAGGAAAAGTGGCTCTAGCAGTGAGGGAAGAGCCACCAGGGAAGCAAGAGGGTTGGCCACACGAGCCAGCACTGGTGAAGCAGGAGGCTCGACTGCAGGAGTTGGAACCTCACGAGGATGAAGCTGGACAACAACCCGGTGCCATCTTGTAGGAGCTACAGTTGCCCTGGGTGGAGGCATGCTCATAGCTGCCTGCGAGCGAGTATAGTAAGGAGGGTTGGTCATGCTGAAAAATGAGCCAGATGACAACAACAGGAAGGAGTGAGGTGGTGTCAGCGGTCACGCGCCTGAAACCTGAGATCGGTAGTAGTATCAATACTATTACCGATTCTGTCGAGTTATGTGACAGCACTTGTGGTATTGCGATTCTTAACGAGGTATGCAGTAGAGCCGTCTCTATTACTTTTCTCACTCAAATCTGTGATTGTGATAATGCTATTGCAGATTTCGACTGACCACTGTCAGACACTCCATCCAGAGGTAGCTCGGCATGATCAATAATGCTGTGAACTTGCTGATGACACCAAGGGTCTGGTGTGAGTAAGGATTGGTGACATCGACATGAGTGTCCAGTGTGTCAACTAATGCTTGAGGTGATCCCTGGACTGCAGTGG